AAAAAATGTTTAAAAAATAAATGCGAAGCCAGGACGGGCCGCTAGTAATTTATATAGGATTCGAACGTCTTCACAAAGGCGAAAACTTTAAAGAATGCCGATTAACCTATATCAAGTTTAACAATGAACCATAAGAGGCCACCGATGAGTCAGATTGGAAGGCCAGTGGGCACTACAATGGTCTGAAGAGGTCAGCCATGACTTTATAAGGATAGATCTATTATTGGAAATCCCTGTACGCTGTAGAAAATTACTCTCGTTGTTCATTATACCTAAAACGCAAGATAAATACTGTTATGTCTAACCATTCATTTAAAGACTGAGTAGGTGATTAGCCATCTGCGCCACATACACACTTATACATACATTTGTTGGTCTATATTAGACGGTTTACGAAAATATCATACATCCAGGTGCATGGGGCCGGCCGGCAGGACCAGTTAAGCCCAAGAAAGGGAACTTTGGAAGGGGTTGGAGGAGGTCTATGTCCTATCATGGTGTTCTAAAAACTGGATGTTTATTGTTTATTGTATTATAATTATTAAGTTGTAACATTTTTAGAAATAAAAGGTTTTATTATTATTATTATTAAAGTCATAAAGAAATTCTTAACATTTATATGAATTCTCGCGGAATCCATGTTCAAATTTACCAAATATAATAATGATTTTAAGTGTGATGACTACCGCAAAGGTTTTCCGGAAAGGTGAAAATTTGGAGTGCATATCATTACGACAACTTGTTTTTTAAAGTTACTTTACACAATGAATCTTCTATAATCAAATATCTAATCATTATAAAACTTTCGACTCAACTTTACATTATCGGTCTTTGTCTGTATTTATTTTTATACAAACCTGCACATACGATTGGCCACAATCCCGCATGATGTTAAGTGACAAAGTATGGATGTATTCACCCACCGCTTGAATAAACCCATATCACACTGTCTAGGTAAGATGACAGACGAACGAAATGGTGTAGTGCTGGAGAAATCGACTACGAAGGAGTGAAAATCCGGCGTGCTTCTAGATGAGGGTTGACTGTATCTAAAAGAATAACAGTCTACTTAATCTATCGTTCTAAAGTCTTTGTGGTTAACTCACATAGCTTGATACGGGTAGAAAACTTCTCAGCTCAGACATTAAACAATCAAAAAATAGTTGTATTTGTTTAAAATCTAAATAAACGAATACTTTAAAAATTAAATGAATCATCTCCAAGTAAAGAGCGTTACTTTCAAAATATGAAAAGCGGAAATCGTAACTGTATCTTGAGAATGGTAACACAATACACGGAGAGTGATGGACAGCCAAGTGTGAAAGTGATACAATTTGTATTGATAGTACTTTTCTTTTCGTTTGATGAATTGATAAATCCTAATAAGTTTCACGCTTTCTCGCTTTGCTGCTGATACATTTTGGTGGATGGGATTAGGGAACAAAGGCGATTGCTTATTCATTTTAACTGACCGGAGAGACAGCCGACTTTAAAACAGCTATTAGCAGGCGAGAAGCAAGAAAATATTGCGAAAAAAATATCGATGTGAAACCTACATTATTATGCATAACAAAAGCTTAAAGGATTTTTTAATACATTGTCTCTTCACCGAGACATGGAACATTACGATCTAACCTAACTTAAAACTAATAAGGAATTTAAAACTAACCTAATTTACTACAAAAACATATTTAAAATTAGAAAGTGTGCAATAACAGTACTAACAGTCTCTTTTACCCCTAAGACACTTCTTGTATTCTATTTTTTCACTTAAGACTAACGTGCACTAACACCAATTTACTAATTCAAATGGTTTTCTCCTTTTTAAATCTGCGTGTGACGTAGTATAAAGAAGTTGAATAGCGATATTAAAATCACCTAATCACTAATGAAATAATATCAATGGAACAGGCTTCGAAATGTGAGTCCACTATCCATTTGGCTTGTAGCGGTTGTATGGGGGTTCCGAAATTAATATTGACGCCAGTTAAATTAATTGAATAATAAAGCGCTTTTTTTCAATTACTTTGACGCAGCTTTCAGCAGGACACCTTCTTTATCTTAACACCGTTTCATTACCATTACGGCTTGCAGAATCTTTAGACACCCTACATAGTAACGGCACCTTTTTCTTCTAAGAGTAAAAACATTTCTCAGTGTTATATTTGGCTGTATTCAGCACGAAGTCTTAATTGTAAACCGAGGCAACTAAAACCTATATCGTTTAATATTTATGAATATAATAAATTCACTTTCAATTTAATATGGATATGAAAGTTTAAATAAAAACCTAGGAAATAGCGTTTGAAGTAGGTACAGAAGTGGCTGGACGGAGGGCAGGCAAGGTTGTTAGCCTTCCCGGTGACCATGCTTTTGTAAAATTAAAGAATTATGTAGATAATTTATGATTGCCGTTATCATCATGACGGTTTGGCATTAATATGCAGACAATGATACAGTAAAGTAGTATTAGGCAAGCAAACAAAAATGTCTTTGGGCAATCACTTAACATCAGATGAACCTCCTGGCCCTTTCCCTCTGTTTAATAAAAAACTAATTGTCTATATATGAAAAACAACATAATTTAAATTTTAAAATGCATTAAATATTAAGATAGATACATAAATACGCAGAGGCAAAATTCTTATAAAAACCTTAATATTCTTCCATATATATTTTATAATCACAATTCTATAAATTACGTCATTGGAAATGAACTTAGCGTGTTACCTCTCAAATTTGACATTTTAGAATAACGTTCACAAAGAATAAGCTCGTTAATCGAATAAAACTTTCAACTTTCAACTATCAGATTTGTTTTTAATGACTGTTATATGATTTTATGTTATGATTGGGATATTAAAAAAAATCCTTCAGTATTTGCTATACGTTTCGTTTATTAAATGTTCGTGTATAATTTTGGTTTGACCAATTAACAAAATTAAACTACATTACTACATTTTTGAAGTTATACTTCTTTTGGCGCGTTAGGGAAAAATGATGAGAGTAAATTTTGATGATGTGTGCGCACACCATCACAAAAAACCGACACTCTGAAGTTAGCTATAGTCAACATTTTAGTTTTTTCTATTGTTAGTGTAGTTTTTTCTATAAACGTAGAATAATTTTTTTTTTAAGATTTGTGTCTTGTTACGCCAAAGAATTAAAACTTATAACGCGTGTACATAAGTACACACACATTTTTTTATGGAAATAATATTCTGACTACAAACAAACGTCGTACTTTGAACACGTTTTGTTTTATAAAACACAAGAGAAACTAACTATCTTAAACTAATCGATTCCCATATAATCCCTTTGATCCTCAAATGATACCTACCATAGGCATTCCGGAGCAGCCTGTTAGGTCCCGGTGTGACAGGCTGTAAGTTGTTAGACGTGAAAGCCTCAACTTATTGTTTTTGCACCACGCCCTGCCGCGCTGTCATTACTTGTTTGCCATACAAGGTAGGTATTAGACTCGTTTTAATAATTATCTTCTTGAAAATATTATAATTATATATCCATATTAATAGTTATAGTTAAATATTAATAGTTAATAGATCCCCTTTAAGAGTTTGATTCGACTTACTTACATTTAAGTGTATTTTTTGTATTCTAGTATATTTTTATAATCAGCTGACCCGGCAAACGTCGTTTTGCCATGTGTATTATTTCTTGGAAACATTTGTTTAGTTCAATAAAAATAACTATCTAGTAGTAGTGTAGAGGGGTGAAAATTAGGGGTCGTATGTGTTTTTGTATGCTATATCATTAAAAAAAATCTAAAATATTAAAAAAATTGTTTGGGGTGGACACCCCTTATTACTTAGGGGTTTGAAATATAGATAGTAGCCGATTCTCAGCCTTACTGAATATGCATAAAAAATTCATAAGAATTGGTCGAGCCGTTTCGGAGGAGTACATTGTGACACGAGAATTTTATGTATATGAGATTAAATGTCTCGTGTTAGCCAACCTCCGTCTAGATTGTCTGGAGAAAACTGCTAGCCCTTGTCTACTTTTATTATTTCATAATAGTGTTAAGTATTTTAGATGATGGTAGACGAGAAAACACTGCAAATTAATGCATCTTTTAAAGGGACTATATCAAAATTTTCATTTATAGACCGATTCAAGTGGAAGCTTATATAGAAATCGCTACCAAGCATTAAACGTAGTCACTTCCCGTCGTCTGTAAGTATGCGAAGGCATATGTATAAAAAAATAATTATCTAATAATAAAGTCACCTACAGGCTACAACTCTATCTAGTCCCATTGTATCGTTTTGTAAGCCGTAGACAATCAGTATTGTACAGAAACGTTTCGCCTGAGTATTTTCCCACAATGTCTGCCATTTAACGCAATGCGTTGCAAAAACTGTTGTAATGCATCCGGCGGAGGGGCGATTGTTCAGAGAAATTAGCTACCTTATAAAGTAATTATTAACTTTCATATAAAATATTATTGGATATCGTGAGATAACTGATCGTGATGACGAATGGTTGGAAGAGTCTCTGGAGCCTCATAGAAAACCTTTAAAATTAATATTATATAGGATGATGATATGTAATATGTATTTTTAGATTTGATTAATAAAACTTCTATTGAAATAGCATAGGGATCTTTATCACACATGTTTAAACGTAAATTGCATGTTATATGAATTATTATAATATATGATTTAGTTTCCGATGCCTGACATTGTTAACGTGTTCATTAATGTTCTTACAAATCGTCAGTCTCATATCATCTCATTTCTCTCTAAGGAAGTCGATAAAAAACTATACATCCGAGGTTCGAACGCACAAACTAGGTTGGGGTTCTCCTAAGTAAGAGCTTGGTAGTCATTTATTAGTTTATTGATTGTCGAAATAAGCAATAATTCACAATTTGCGATATAAAAGGTACTTGAGATGATAGTTCGGATAGTAATCTGTCATCTTAATACTATAAACAAATCAAATTTCCAACAATACAGTCAATGAAACATTTTAGTTTATTTCCTTCTGAGTTCAATGTTTGTCTTGAAGCAGCAATTCTTGGACTCGTCATTTTCATCCCAAAGCTTCAGTTTGAAAACGTACTGGCCCTATAAATACAAAAAGCAAATTAAAAATATCTACCTCAATTAAAAACATAATCGTAACAAAAAAAAAATAGTAATTAAAAAACCCATTACCAAAATTAGAAAAAAAGGTGAGCATATTCATAGTAACGTATAAATATAAATACTCACGCTAGGCAATTTCTTTGAGAGTCGCAGGCTGTAGTCAAATGTCTGTAGTTTGTTGGCGACGATAGGGCAGGCCGTGTATTGGCAAGCATCAGCATTGTACATATCAGGGAATGGTATATCTTCAGTATCTGTCTTTGCCCAGAAGAAACCAGTCTTCGCTTTGTCGGCTGAGAAGTCTAAAAATAAAAACAATAATTCAGAGATCTAAATAAAATAATTGTGCTACTTTATTTGATTATGGGAATTAATTAATAATATCTTACAGTAAAATTATTTGTACTGAAATGTATAACGCCTGCATTTTTTTACGCAAATACGTGGGTAATAATCACTTTCAATATTCTGTCAGGCGCTATACTATGTATTTGCGTAAGGTTCAAGAGTTGTCAAACGTTCTCGTAGAAACTAAGTTTAGGCCTTTATATTTCATATTTAGAAACTTCGATAAAACATATTTAAATCCAATTCAATAACTTTTGATTAGTAGATTAGTTGTTTCATAAAACACACAAAAAAACTTCTCGTCTCATTCATAAGCATTATTTTTAAGTAAGTTTAAATAGTTTAAACTTACCAGGCTTAAAGTCGTATGATAAGGAGTAGGTGTTCCCTTTCTTCAACTTGCACTGGTCAGGGTGGGTGCAAGGGTGTATCCGCACTTCTGAGATGGAGCATGGTGGCGCTTCAATAAAAAAATAACATTAAACATGTGCATCGTTGACTATTAAATACTAAGACTGTGTAATCTTATTATATTTTATACGTAACGACGCGTCTTCTTATATGAATCATGATGTACCTACAGTGAAACAGGATCTGTGTTTGCCCTATGCCCCATTATTGAGAATACATTAATTGCTAATTATAATAATTAATTTAGCTAATCATTGTTTTCATTTAAGTTCAGATGTACTCGTGAATGGAAAGATAATAAAGTTTACTCAAGTGTGAATTGTGATAAAACAATGTCGTTAAACTAATGTTTTAATAAGCATTTAAGGCTAAAACACTTAATAAGGCATCTCTAATATTTAAAAAAAGATGTTTGTCTAAATTAACTTTGACAATAGCATAGCTTTTGGATCTATATCATGACTATGTTAGTTGTATGTATAAGTCAAGTAATAACATGTTGGAACGTCCTAGAAATATTACATTATTACTAAATTTTCAGAATGTTTCTGCTACCAGAGATTCAGTCTATAAGTCTATTAATTAATATATTTGTATTTAGAAAATACCCAGGAGCATTCCCCTGAAGAATAACCAGCTGTAGGTACTAGACTAATATATCAACACAATCCTTTAATACGCATTAAAATGTCTTTAAATTTAAAGAATTGGTTATACACCAACCTTATTATAAATATGAATTTGTAAAATTGATACGTTTCATGTAATTAAAATGTTTAAATTCGGCTTTTTCAACTTCTTTTGAATATGTTTAATTTTGTGGGTCTTAATATGAAATGTCTTAAGCTTAATAATAAAGTGTTAATTCAATATTTTTATAGATAATATAATTTATATCGAATATAATTTATTAATTTGAAAAGAATATAATTAATATATTTAGGTGAATTTGTTTAAGGCACAAAAATTGCGACCGTGTTCCGTGAGCCGTGGATTTTAAGTAATAAATGTAATCATTAAAAAGTTGATGCATTACCAACATAATATAAGGACCAAGAGCGTTATCAAAGTCCGTTGGCATTAATTAAATTTATGTCAGAGAAGTCTATATTTTATGTTTCCCATTTAGTGCGATAAAAAAACATGATAATGGTCAGTATATTGACACTAAATATGTTAGTGACCCGTTATCGCCTTTATTAATAATAGTAATATCTAAATGATTCGATATAAAAGAAAAATATTATTTTTAGGATCAAGGCTATCACATCATATTTGGAAGAAATGTGTAGACTACCTGTGTGCGTTTTACCACTAACATATATAGTATTATAGGATTTAAAAATAATAAAAATCGGTGGGACGCTGTTACATACATTTATTATCAGGAATCAAAATATGCATCAGATAATCCAGTAAATTAAGAAAAATATTTTTTTAGGAATCTTAACGGTTATTTAAATATTAAAAAGGTAATTTAAAAAAGATTACTTTATTCACTAAAAATTAAATATAATTTATTTCTCGGTTACAGATTGCGGAAAATTCTTGCTAGCACAGTAATAGTTGCGACGAGAGGTCAATAACATGTCTGAACATACAACTAAATGTGTTATAAAAATATTAAAAGAATACTCACATCCATCACAAGGTATGAACTTCGCCGATTCGGCTGCAATTACTCCGAAGAAGGCGGAAATTAAAAGAAATTTAAACATTTTAATGCGACCAACCGTGCACTCCAAATGATGAGATATTTATGACCGAACGTCGAGTGACATCCGACCTTTGCGCCGAAGATAATAGACAGAATTGTTTTTAATTGAGAATGTTTTTGTTACAAGACCCTACAGTGGTTAAGTATAAAAATATCGGAGGTTATCGTGGCATGTGAGTTCTACTGTCTGTTTAGTTTTATAAATTGATACTTAGAAAATGTAACACGGTATAATTATACAGGAAAAGTAATTATTTTCTATAAAGTATTTGAGAAAATGTGTTGTCTTAATAAAATGGTCATATTTAAGTTAAATTTGAATAGTAGTTTTACTCGAACACATTTGATGATCTGTTTATTAAATAATATGTTACATATGAAATGTAATAAAATTATTATACATACTTAAGAAAAAAATTTAACACAGTTGAAATTTCCCAGTTATCAAAAGTACGGCTAAAATTAAAAGAAATAGGGAGTCGTATGAAATATTTATTTACTAATTTACAAGAAAATATATAAAACTTAAAATAAACTAAATTAAACTAATGATTATTTAACTCGTTGTGATTCGTTGCTTCCCATTATTTATATACATCTATGTACATTTATGCCGAAAATTCTTTGGCATAATATTTTGTCCAAAACGTATGTACCAAAATTTTAAAAGGCGACTATAATTATATCTACGTAGCAGCGACGTTTCAGCGAAATTTGTGTAAATAAGGAAATTCATTTAAAATTAATCACTTTTATAATATTCACCAAAAGTTTAAGCTTACCATAAGCCTATCTTAAAACAAATTGAATTCCAAGAAACATTTACATTAATACTTCGCCATTAAATTCTAGAATCGCCTTACAGATTTAAAAAATAATACGAGCATAAGGAAATCAAAATACGAATTAGAGCCTCTATATTCTCCTATTTCTTGTTGAGTATTAAAAAGGCAATTTGTAAACTAATCAAATACACTAAACTTGAACACCTTGATTAGGTATTCGTTAACGTATTGAGGTCAAATAATAATAAAAAATTACAGTCTTATGAAAATACTGTATCAATGCTGTACACACAAATACACACTAGAATAGTTTGTTGATATTTTATTTTCATTTTAAAGTTCCTCCTTGCTGTCAAGTTTTAATACGTTTAAAAGATTGACTAACATTAAATACCTAATAAAAAAAATATATATAACAATAAAAAAAACACAAATATATTGTCTAAACCACGTCTTATATTTTTTTAGAACTATCACTGTGGTCTTTTTGATTCCAAAATAAATGTTTAAAGAACTTTATTTCTCATTACAAAAAATGTATTTTTTTATATGCGAAGCTTAATATATACGAACGAAATACACGTCGCCATCTGACAGCCGTCCTATTTTGTTATATTAAAAGTATTTTGATTAAAGTGTCACGCCAGTTTTATTGTGTTAATTCTGAATTATTACATAAGTTAATTATTTTTTTTTAAATTTTGATATTATCTAAGCGACACAGTGTTTGTTTGCAGTTAATTGAAAACAAAAGAAATACAATCAGAATTTTGTGCCATACAAATTAGAAAAAAACGTTAAATATATATAGTATTTGAGTATATTTTGTTTGATTTCTTAAACTATAGCAAGTGTGGTAGTAGTTGTATTTGGATCATCTCTTGGGAAGTGTAAATCGTGATGAATACCAGCTTCCTTCAAGATTCTCATTCGAGGCCCTAAAGGAACGCCCAGAGCTCTCAACTTGTCTTCTCCTACGTAAGGTAGTTCAGCGGCACCGACTTTCTCCTTCTCTAACATTGCAGCATATTTCTGAAATAATTAATGTATTTTAGTTCAGTGGGTAAACTCGCTGGCAGCAACTGCTGACGTCCAGTCATTTTGCCTTAACCAAAAACTGTATCTGTTGGATAAAAAACGAAATAAAAGTTTGGTGTCGATTTTGTCGTTAATCTATCTAAACTAAAATTTTCTGGATTTAGCTTAGTCATTTCAAGCTTTTCGAAATAAATTTAGATAGCAGATCAGGACTTCTATTAATAAGGTTCACCAAGGACAGTCAGATACTTATACAGTTATAGAAAGGTAACATATGTGATAATGCCACGAACAGAAGATGCAGCGCTAACCAGATCATGCTTCCTCACACTCGAATAGCCCGCAATATTATTATTTAATTATTATTAATAAATTAATTAAATTACACGATCATGGCAGGTTAAGTGAGAATATTTTAATGTTAGTATAGCTCGACGAAGTAAATGTAAATGTTTATTACAACCTAAATATAACAATCAAATATACAGTATTGATAATTTTAACCTACATAGTAATAATAATTAAAAATTAATAAATAGAAATTTAAAACAAATTTAAATAAGTTATGTTCCTGTGGCAGTGCACCTTTAACGCTGCATTTCCTCGCTGTATTGAGATACTTATTCGTTGAGAGAGGAAAGCACCAGCTTTTGGTACTATCTACCAGACATCAACTTAAATCTTTAATTAGCGCCTGTGCACCACGGCCCAAGATACTCTACTCCAAAGAAAACAAAATCGAAGTTGGAAAGTCGAAGTAGGTATTATGTTTCTATGATATACCTAAACATGTTTCAAAATAGTGAATTTGCTTTATTCAAAACCCAATTTATCACATTGAATCATTTATCAGCAGTCCATATTATTGATTAGAGACTGTTGAAGAGATGCTGTATTTTGACTAATAACTGCAAAAAAAATTGGTTCCGAAACTCCAATTAATTTATATACTTATGGAGAAAACATAAAACAGCCAAATTACCTCGTAACCAAGTTTCTTGAGGAACAGTCTCATGAGAGGTGGCTCGTCTCCGAAGAACTTGGTGAGTCTCTTGACGCGGTCGGGGTTGCTGAACGAGAATGGGTCCAGGTGCCGAGAGTGACCTGATCTTATGTATTGTTGCGATCTGTTAAATAAGAATATGTGTAAAATACTTAGTTAAGCGCGTTACCCACACACATCTCAATAAAAAAGAGGCCAGGAAGTCGGAGATTGTGTACTAATGTTTATTATTATTTATTTATTTACAGCCCATGCATGGCCAAACTCAGACTAAACACAACATAAAACCACAATAAAATATAATTAAGTTATTTACAAAATTGACAGTAAATGCTATCCTCTTATCCCCTCCAAGTATACTCTCAAATGACAGTATACTACCCCATACGCTTTCCAAATAAGTCGCTCTCCGGTGAAGAGTCGAGAAACCCGTTAAGCAGCGAGAGTAACCGAGGAATGGGCGCTTGTTGTCGCTGGACAGTGCGAGCTGAACGCACAGCAAAAAGGTTTTGTTTCCGGCAGCGGTAATAATAATTGTCCGGAACGTACAGTCTCATGATTCCTCCCAGCAAGTATGCGCTTTTCGTTTCGTTTTTAATTACGCTTAAACCAAATCTGATCTGACCTGACCTGATGTTAATTAAACATGGACCTAATGAAATCCGGTTTGTGTAGTACTCGATTAAAGGCTATTTTTTATTTTATACTTAAGGGCCGATTTACATTATCTTAGTGTTTAGCAGAGTGCTTTAGGATAGTACTTTAGTTGAAACATGTAAACGCTACTTGCTTTAGTACGGTTCTTCTTGACTTTCAAGTTGAATCAAAATAGAATCGTATTTATATTTAGTTTATTTATTTCGAATAAAGTCTCGTCTTCTATTTGTTTCATAACTACAGTTAGTATTTTGCGTTGAATAGAGCGTATTTGCCGTCGTCGTTGCGCGTTCATTGTGGCGCTGTAATGATACTCTACTGGAAGAAATGTAAACGTTCACTGGCAACGCACTAAAGCACTAAAGAACTTGCCTTTCAAGTTGTACTAAAATAATCTCCTAAACACTAAGATAATGTAAATCGGCCCTAAGATTAAGCAACTCACTTGTACATATGCCTAAGCGCAGCGATCTCAGCTCGGATGTTATCCATCTCCTGCATGACAAGGTGTTGTGTCCGCATTTCACTAGACAAATGGGCGACTGAGCGAGCCAACGTCACTACATGCGACTCCAATCGTTGGAAACGCTTGTTTATGCCCTGGAATGTAGAATACTTTGTAAGACTTGGTCTATATGTAATCAACAAAAAAGTTTACATTGAAGTTAGTACTCTAACTATATAATAATGGATAATAAATTTGATTTGTCTCCTTACAATATTGCATTTTATTTATTTTGCATCTTACGTTTACACGCTAAGTTATAAACCATCTTTGTGAGAGGCTGGTGACTATAGAAGTCCTGTGAACACCAGCCTTCCATCGGGGTCAGAAAATATACAAAATCATTATTTTATACTATGACCAAACTAAAGTAATAGACAATAAACTAAAGCATGAGTGGTTGTGGGTGTGAGAATATGTATAAGGGTGTGTGCAAGAATATAATTTAAAGTCTACTTTTAACTTTAATCAAGTCTGGTACCTTTAAAGAATAAAAGTGATGTCGTCCGAAAATGTTATATTATTTATGGATGTATGAAAACCTAAAGCGTTGATTTATTACTAGCTAAACTGATGTTTTACCATTTATTGGCTACAAGTGTAGTGAACATTTCGTTTAAATTGTGTAACTTAACTAATGTTAGGTTACATAACTAGTGTAAAAACATATAAGTTAAGTTTGTTTTTCATTTATTATTAAGTATTATCAGTGGACGGGTTTAGTCTATTTTCATCATACAAAATGAATTTATTACATAGTACGTTATTTACGTAATTAAATAAACTCGGCTACAATATTGGCTTAAAATAATTTTCTATAATGACCACGAAATAAAAATAAAATAAATAAATCAGTGGCGCTACAACTTTTTTAGGTCTGGGCCTCAGTTTCCTTTATCTGTTTCGTGTCATCATTTGTCAATCTAATAGGCAAGTAGGTGATCATCCTCCTGTGCCTGACACTTCGACTTTTTGGGCTTAAGGCAAGCCAGTTGTCATGTTTCCTTTAGCATTCGAGCGAATGATAAATGTGCACATTGAAAGAAAGGCCATTGGTGCACAGCCGGGGATCGAACCTACGACCTTAGTGATGAGAGTCGCAAGCTGAAGCCCCGGCAAATGTTTTTCAAAACATACACTTGAAACAAACCTTCAAATCATTCTTCTTTCGATGGTCGGAGGAGCGTCTCTTGTCTCTTTGCGGCCGGCTGCTTACGGAACTCGAAGGCAGTGATGACATACTTCCGTAACGACGCTTCGATGATAATCTGGAATTGATATCAACATTTTCGTTGAAACTCACAGTAATAAAAATATGTTTATTCATTCAGTTCATTATAATGTGTAAGATTTGGAAACCCTTTTAATAAAACATACCTGTGTCAGGGTTCCCAGCTTTTCCATAACGATAATAATAATAAAAACTTTATTCATGACAAATAGGTAGTGACAAAATTCATCTATCGCTAGTCCTCACACTAGGGAGTCCCTGTGTTGTGGGTAGATAACAATTAGTCACTCGTACACGGTACATGTTCACAACAGTTTTTTTGAGAAAAAGTAGTTTTAATGTCACAACTCATCAAACACAAGTCTTATAAGACATTAAGTATGCGTGAGTGTGTGAACGGGTGTAAGTGCTCATGTACTTGAGAGTTGTTAGTAGCATGCGCTGTGTCAATTTTTGGTAGCTCAGAGTAATGCCAAGATACGTAGGAAGTCCTCTGTAGATTCAAATGCACTTAACAGTAAATTCCATAACAATTATTTTTACATTTACAACACGCGTGAGTGCATGAGTGACTGTGCGGGTACATGTGAGTAAGTGTAATGTGAAACTACCCGTTAGGTCTTAGGAGTATCTCCAACTCTCATTAAGGTGTGTTCATAAACTAGTTCTTTAACCTTTTTTTTAGATTGTGGACGGTGGGTACCATATTAAACAATAGATTAAATAGGCTGCTTAATATACAGATGTTAAGCAGCCTATTTAATCTATTATAGATATAATCTCCCTGCATATTGCGTCTGGCCAAGTCAGTCCTTACGGTCTGACCGACGACAACATCCCTATTTCTTTTTAGTAAATGAGTTTTTTTAGTAAATTAGTTTTTACTAATTATAGAGAGATGCTGATATCTACCTGGCTTCCCAAGTAGGCTGTTTAGCTAAACTAGCTGGTTTCCTAACTCCCAGAAGTTGCAACACCTCAGCGTACATGTTCTCTAAGCCTCGAAGTTGTCGACGGATTGCGCGGGCGTCGCCTGTCGACGCGTCACTGTCGGTTCGACCGTCAAGAAGAGAGGATAGATCCAGGCTGCGGGTAGTTGTGGACGTCATGTCTGTTGTGTCTAGGCCGAATACTGAAATTATTGTTTCTTGGTTATGTGATATATTCAACCCAGTTTGTATACAAAATTTTATTTGTTCACGAAATTTTATCCTGGTACCATTTTATGATAGTAATCTGGTATCTTTTATGATAGTAATATCACCACCACTTGGTGGTGGTAATATTAAAGCAGTGCTATATCAAAATACAGAAATTTCAGAATGAATAAGAACAACCCACCAATAACCATAATTCTAAGATTATAAATTTTGAATAAATGTTCACAGGAATAGAATATTCAAAATTGTTGTGAATGAGGTGTTCGGCTATACATACAGTGTCTTTTATAATGGTGGTCTCGTTTTGAGGAGTGTTTCTTATGTGAGTGAGAATGTCCGTGCCAGCGGGGAGACTCTCTTCCATCTCGACGCCTCCTTTCTTCTGGGTATTCTGATGAGCGTCCTGGCAAACTGAAATAGAGTGAATGTCTCCGTCAATTTCTTTGTGATTAACAGCTTTTTTAAGATTTCATCATTTAGGGAACCACTTCTAATATAACGAATATTTGAAATTATATTTTATTTGTTTAAATATTAACGCAGCACATATTTTGTTTTGAATAGAAAGCATACGGGACGCCCAAGAAGGTGGATACCCATTTTAGTTGTGGCGTTGCCGGCCTTTGAAGGAGGAGTATACTATTTCTTTAAACAATTAGAGTCATCCCACAGCGCGCTAGTCGCAAAAGAAAGTATTAGCAAACAGTGACACTAAAGTTTTTCATTTTTCATGCCATATTATATTTTGGCTAAAAATGTAACTTGTTATTGAATAAAATTTTTTGAATTTAATAATTGACTTATTAAAAAAAATATTTTGTTACGGTATATTTTATAAATAAAGGGAATTTCCCAGTCCTTATAACCGTGAATGTAAGGTAAGGGTTTCATACCTATTTCTTTTATGCAAGTCCGAAGATGGTGACAGTGGTGGCAGGGGTGGTGTTATTGAACTGTCCGAACTATCCGAGCTATCGAGCCTCATATTTGACAATTTAGGTTCCAAAATCTGACGTAACTCACACTCCACCAGATCCGCCCACTCGTTTTCGCCAGCTGAAAATGAGTAGAATAATATTATTATTTTAATAAGCTATTAACGAACCTATACAGTTTTGAAAAGTTTATTTTCTGCTCAGGATACTATACAAAATAAGTAGTTTAAAAATAATAATAAAAGCCATTTTAATTTCTTAAACAGAAGTAGAATATGAAATTTAGATATATTATACAGATTTTTTTTCTTGTAATCCTGATATCTTAGCTTTCTTCAGGACCATATATCCTTCACGGGTTTAAGTATTTACTAACCGGGTTGAGGGTTTTGCTGGCTGGTACCCGGCTGCGGCTGCTGTCTCAGTTCTCTGGTCCCAGCGGCATCTGAGTCTGCTGAAGTGTCGTGCAAGCTAGCGTCAGCGCGTCGACCACTTGAATACGCCACGCTGCCTCTACCGGAGTCCACATTCGATGATTGACCTCCATTTTTATCATAATCTGTAACGTTGAAATCATTTTCTTAATATGGAAAACAACAATAATTGATCTTTTTACTTCTATACTTTTAGGGGAACTAACTTTTTTTATTTGTATTAAATATTAGAAATTGCTATATTTGGCGATAGTTATTTTAAAACTTACCTGAGCTAGCTGCTGAACCACCAGTACCTTTTTTTCCATGTGCTTTTAAGTCTTCTATTCTGCTTGGTGTTTGCCTGGATGATGAAGGCTGCGGATTGTATCCTTCGCCTTTGTTCGATGTGTAAACACTGTCTGCTGATTTTTGACTAGCACTTTCATCATTTCTTTCAGCATCTACTGGATTGGGTGTACTTTCTTTTTGCCTCTGGTTAATAGAATCCGGTGTCCGACGAGATTCTCTAAGGCTGTCGGGCGTTCTTCTGTATTCCTCTGGAATTTGTCTCGAATCTACCGATCGGCCACTGGTACGAATGCGTTCAAAACTCGACCTTCCTTGGGCCGCTAATTTCATTCTGAAGCCACCGTCGTCGGATTCTCTTTCGTCGTTACTTCTAGGTGGACCGTTTTCATTAGGCGTACCGTCTAAAAGGTTTTCGTGTGAATTTCTTCTTGAACGATCGTACACTTGCGGTTTTGGTTCAGGTCTTTGGGGCTCGTCGAGTAAATGTGGGTGTGAAGTGGAACGTCTTCCGTCGATAAGTCTCCGATGTTGAACAATCTCACGCTCGAGCTGTTGAGGACTTCTTAAATCAAGCCGTGAATTTGAGTTATCGTACTGGAAAAGTACAATCAATATGAATATCTAATCTGGCCAATCATACATCTCTCATCTCTCTTAATTTAGAAAATCTCTCGCTATATTGGTAAACATAACATGTTTAAACTTTTTTTAGAAACATAATCTAGCTGTTGGCCTTTAGGGCATTTACAGCTCGGTTCAGCCTGTTTTTGTGAGCGTAGCTCGGCCGGAATTGGCTTTTTCCCGTGCCAACGGCAAGGGCCGTCTCCTACGAGTCTCGGCTTAAGCTGTCGCGGGGAAGTCAGTCGCCTGAAGGGCAGGAAGGAAGCTCACTGGAGTGAGCGAAGTAAAGTGAAAAGGGTTTTTTTACCCTATTCTGATTTTGCTTTGCCGTACGGGTGGTTCTTTTATTTATGGTAAGGTTTATACAGCAAATACGTTTTTTCAGATAAACATTATTTGTATTTACTAGATACATAAATTTATAGCGAGTTTTAATTAAATTAAGAATGAAATACTCCATAAAATTACCATCTTTAAGTGCTCAAAGTAATTTATTTAATTATACGTTTCGTGGGAAATATTCATATTTGACAATGAAACATTGTAAACAAAGATAACATCGCTCCAAAATCTCTCAATCGACCCTTTTGTTTAGGATTTCTGTCAGATTTTTAGTGACATTAGTTATCGGTACGCTTAAATAATTTTGATCATTTTGATATAGTAAAAAATGTTCACCTGTGGCTGTGGTCCACTTTTAAGAGAAGTAAAATTCGCCATAGACCTTACATCAAGATCCCTCTGATACATAGCGCTTCTTCTTCCGGGCGGTCCATATTGTTGGTATAACGCATCAGCGCCCAATGCTTGAGGTCGGTGAGCAAGCATCTCTTGTGATCTTCCGTGCTGATTCATCATATCTTGTGATCTTCCCTGCTGATTCAACATCTCCTGTGATCTTCCCTGCTGATTCAGCATCTCCTGTGACCTTGCCTGTTGATTTAGCATCTCTTGGGATCTCGCTTGCTGGTTCATCATTTGTTGTTGTACCATTTGTTGTTGCATTAATTGTCTGTGGAATAGTCTATTGTCAATGCCGTAAACAATTAAGTTCGAATTCAGGTTAACTACACCGACGGTATTGAACCGTTATTATACGTGTTATTTAACATACTTTTGCTACTTCGAAATGTAGTTGCAATCTAAGTTTTTTCTTATTAAGGTGAAAAATATATTTATAGAAGAGAACTGTTGGCCTAGTAGCTTCAGCGTGCAACTCCCTGAGGTCGCAGGGTCGATCCCCGGCTGTGCACTCAATGAACTTTCAAACAGGAAAACATCGTGAGGAAACCGGCTGACCTTAGACCCAAAAAGTCAACAGCGTGTGTCAGGCACAGGAAACTGATCACCTACTTGCCTGTTAGATTGACAAATGATCATGAAACAGATACAGAAATCTGAGGTTCAGACCTAAAATGTAGCGTCACTGATTTATTTAATTAATAGATATACCGATAAGATTTCTCACCTATGTGGGGATGGACTTGAATACACCATATTATTAGTCATTCCATGGTTATACTGCAACTCGGGTCTTTGCATTGGTCTTCCATATATTCCTTCCTTTCTTACACCTTCCCTCGGCGTAACCGGTTCCGGTTCACGTCTTCTTTCTTCATTATTATTATTAAGACTTTCTTCCTTATCTGCTTCATTATTTTCCTTGCCCTTAAACTTACTTGAGATCATGTCTTTCAGAGTATGGTAAGTTTTAGTGACAGATTTTGTACTCTTCGGGGCGTCTCTGGTGCTATCTTTAGTTGTTTCTACGACTGTGACCATGTGTGAGTTGTTTGGTGTGTTTTTGGCAGGTATAGGCGGTTTGGGCGAATCGTAGTTTTGTGTGCTGCGATTTAAGTTCTGACCTTGATGGTGGGTGTAGCCGTACTGATCGTGATACTGTCTGAAGTCACCCGATGTTCCGGCTTGGTTCTGAAATTTTACTTAGGTTTAATCTTTCATATTGCAATAGTTTCTTTGGTTTGTCTTCATCAAGTTATTTTCAATATACGAGTAAAATAACTGTAATTTATTGAAACAATGGAGTCTAACTGCACTTGTTTATTAAATAATAAAAACGGATAATTATAAATTACGCGCACATTGACATCTAACTTGATGCGATGATGAACCTATTAGTCAATAGTTTAAGTTAGTCCTTATTCCTAATTTTAATAAACACGGAGAATTGACTTATCATTGTGTGGTAGCTAATATAATCGCCATAAAAATGCAATGGCCCCTAAATTATATTGGTTCGGGATCTACAAGACCCGGCCACATCCGGCAGCTGATTCCACTGAGTGGATATTTTGTTTCTAGCATGGAATAAATATGAATCTTATTGTTCGTTTAAAACAACAAAAATTAAGATAATGAATAATAGAAAATCTCAGCTTTGTTGTGCAACCGATGTTAATGTCCCTTATTGTGTGCGATGGGAATCAAACCCCGTACCATAATTATACCAGGTGAAAGACACGTTAATCAGACAATGTATTATTGTGGGAAACTTAAAACAAAGCTGTTGTATGAAGTAAGACTTTGTTTAGAGCTACGTGGCTTACTTATAGCTAAAGCTTTTAAGCTTTCTAAGTTAGTTACATTTAATTGTATTATAATATTCAAATAACTTTAACAAGTTAACATAGTTACAAAAAACCAAATTGAGAGCTATCATATCATTTTTCAAACAAATTATTGCGGATGCTAAATTTGTTAACAAAAATAAGAAATCGGTTTAATAATAACACCTACTTGTTCAATTATTTTAGAAAATTGTTTAAAAATACATACATTTTCCAGCGCAAACTCAACCATTTTAAATCAAAGAACTACAAAAATGATTTCACAAGTCACACTTCCGCACTTTTTAATTAATTTAACTAATAATAATTATACTGAGACATCACGATATTTCTTGTTGTCTGACACTGACATGCACTCCCTTCGATGGCATCGGAAAAACAATGAAAACAAAACAAAGGAGCTTAAAATTATACGATAAGTCGTGATTATTAAATATTTCCGAGAAATTGTATCGGCGGACGGCCGGATGCGCCCGCGCACGAGTCGAGTCACCTCACTAGTGCTTTGTGTGCCGCTTTGTTACGGTGAATATGCTGTTTAATTTAAACACGCCCCAAGTGACTATAACCTCTTTGTCTCAAAATTTTATATACATGTTTAAAAACTAAATACATAAGATAATTAAGTAATATTAATTTAATGTTAAGAAGAAAATGAATTAGCTCTTCATTGTAGGTTTTTGTCTGCTTGTTTTTTATTCGACGGGGGCAAACTGGCAGGAGGCTCATCTTTAGTTAAGTGACACCCCCGTCCTTGGACAGCCTCAATGCCAGAGGGCTCGCGGTGCCGGCCTTTTAAGCATTAGTACGCTTTTTTCTTGAAGGACCCAGCTGGATGTGGTGGTGCGCGGCAAAAACTGACTTAAAACGCTCAGTTGTGGAACGACGGACGTCGAGGTGATACGGGTGTAATTTCGTATTCTGCCTCGACGTCCGATGATGAAACTGCTGCTTATCAGACTTTAGGATCATTCGGTCATAGACTGCATTACTGTTACTTAAATTTGAAACATACAAAAAGTCTTATACATTATTTATTTATTAATTATGAACACTTCGTTGAACTGGCGGCCTTATTGCTTTTAAGCGATCTCTTCCAGGCAACCACTATTAAAAAAAGGTATTAGACAAGGTAGGCAAGAAGTGCAAAAATACATATTACATATTATAGTTCTTAAACAAAACTTAACAGAAACAAAAAAAACAAACTGAACTAAAAAAGGATACATGAATAAAAAAGGAAAAAAAAATATTTTGTATTTACTTATATAGAGGAAGACGAACGAAAGTCTTGAAGTACTTTAAGCTCCAAAATAAAGACATCAATCACAATCATGCACGAAAATTTATGATTCGATACGACACAGATTCACTTTAAACTTTCACATCTATTAATATAATTTTTACTAATACGTTCATACTTTAGCTTAATACTTTTTTATGTAAGTGAAAATTTTGCTTTTCGAAGCAGGTGTGCAACGCATGCAATCCCCACGAAAGCCTTAAAACGTATCAAATGACGATCAGCTGTTCACTTTCGAATTTAGTTGTAATAATATTCTATCGAAATGAAACCTAATACAATTAGTGAATTATTTGTTTAATAATACAGTGTACTTTTTAATGTTAGTTATTATTATTATTATTAAAGCTTTATTAATCCATACAACAATTGGTTAGTTTGCATTCCTTAATATTAGTATTAGTTGTGTTAGTATGAGTTTAAAAAAAAATTAGATTTCTTTTTTAGTGGTCTAGTTTTTGTATTTCTCTTTCTCTTGAGCAACATTCATCCAGTTTCATTCATACAGTTTATTTTTAGTTAGTAGATTGTAAAGTTGCTGAAGTCTCTAGATGCACAATAATTTAGTCTTTTGCTTCTAAATAGGTAACCTTCTCCCACGACGCAAAATTTTGCCGTATTTTTTTTGAAATTTTATACCTACGTTTTAAAAGTACTTCAACTATAATTAAGAGCCTGTTACCCGAAAAGTTCTTTTGTCGCCTTTTCTTCAATACATTTTATTGATTTTTGAAATTATTTTTATTTCTTATTTTTTAAGATGGCACCTGGTAGATTGTACCGGTGACCCCAGAGCTAGAGCTATCCTCGCTCAACGAATATGTATAGCAATACAGCGAGGAAATGCTGACAGCGTTAAAAGTACACTGCCACATGGACCAAATTTTTTAAATTTGTTTTGATTTTCTTTTTATTAATTTGTATTAGTACTATGGAAGCTAAGAAAATTGTAAATACTGTATATTTGGAATTAAATTGTTTTTTGAATCCATTATATTGAAGCTGTTTGACTTAAGCTATGATTCAGATGTACATTACATTAATATATAACCTTAATCTATAAGGTAAGACTCATTGCATAGTAATTTTTTTATGTTACGTATTGATGAATGTTCCCATGGTACAATCTTCCCAAGGTCAACGACCTTATACTGGCTTAACTAGGCTGGCCTATGTAAAAAAATGTTTTCCATAGTAGACAAGTATTGAATTAGAATTTGAGAGATAATTTTAATTGTCTCGTGCGAACACAAATTATCTGCGTTATTGATCAATGTGTCGGGTTAAACATAACACAAATCATGAAGATGTTTACATTTTACACCTTGCCAGAGTGGATGTGTAGAAATATTTGAGAGTCGGGAAGAATTTTACTATATTTATTTACATTTTAAATATTAGATACCTAAGTTTGTTTACTGTTTCATATATTTTGTTAATGTAATCAGTTTTGCCTTTGTTTATTGTCTACGTATTTTCTTTTATAATATGGATTTGTGAAGTTGTAAGGTTACTTATAAATAAATAAACTTTGACAATACAAGTATGGGCGAACATACAATTCCTTAAGGATATAAATAATTGTCCTAAATAGCCCGCACGTGGATTAACTAAACCGTTTGTTTGAACGTGCGTCACTGCAGTGCTCAGGTCGTGGTTTGAATTTTCATAAGCTTTACGACGTGGTCATACTGTCTCATGGTCATTTTTATCAGAGGCCTCTGCGTGTCAATTATTATACTAAAGACACGCAAAGTTATTTACTGATGCCTTTATTAATATTATACAACTTGGCTTAGTTTTTTTTTATATTTTCATTTTATATACTGTTGTTGTTTGAACCACGTGTAGGTAATAGTATCCTCTAACAATTCTGGTAAAATTAGTAAAATTTTAGATTTTGTAATGCATAAATTATCGCCGAATAAAAGTGGTGTTTTTATTTTTAGGTTAATTTTATCTAATATATAAAATTCTCGTGTCGCGGTGTTTGTGGTTAAACTCCTCCGAAACGGCTCGACCGATTCTCATGAAATTTTGTGTGCATATTGGGTATGTCTCAGAATCGGACAACATCTATTTTTCATCCCCATAAATGTTAAGGGTAGTCCACCCCTAAATATTTATTTTTCGATATTTTTTTCTGTTTTTCATTAAAAATACATACAACCCCTAACTTTGGGGTTGATCGTAGAGGGGTGACCCTCTACGATCAACCCCTATTTTTTTATTATAAATGATATACATGGCAAAACGACGTTTGCCCGGTCAGCTAGTACTTGTATAAAATTGTTGTATAAAAACATACACATTTCTTTTTCACATAAACCGTGAATTTGTAAAACTAGATTACTGTTTGCAATAATTTATTCGTAATGCTTAAAAAAAACTTAGCTGTAAACTAAAATCCAATTCAATGTATAACTAAAACATATTTACAATCCACTATAGATCTTACAACCCCTTTAAATGAAAGCTTAATTGCTGTCCTTTTAATTCCTCCTAAAATACCATATTCTTACACAAATGCAAGGGCAAAGAACTACATAGTTATGCCCGGCCTGTCGTTACGGTCGTTAAGCAGGAAGGCACCGACGGACATAACGTATCAGTCTTTGTACACAAATACCTATGTACTAAGTTTCATAATATCTTAAGGGTACTATTGTTTTGCATACTTAAACTAACAAAAAGCCTTTTCGTAATTAAAAATCTATTCATTACTGTCTAGTAAATTAACTATGTGTCTATGAGTTATAATAATGATTGTTGAATCGATAATCTACATCCAAATGAAAAAAAAAGGGTCCGTGTACTTATGTACGCGCGTAAGATGTTATACTTCTTAGGCAATATTAAAAATAGTTTGGCTTTGTTCCACCTCCAGTTTTTGATGTTTCACAGCGATAAGATGAAAACTCTTTTTTGTATTCAATTTAGTGCAGTTACACTGATTCATCAATTGTTTTTTGTCTCTTTTCCTTATATTTGCTAGATAAAATCAGAAAAATTACATGTTTTGATTAGACAATGTGGTTAATTTTTTAATCAAAACATTACTCGATAATAATAATAATACATACGGATAGTTAACCTCAATTGTATTGAAGCACTTAGGAAGGTTGATGAGCACAGTTTTTTCACAAATATTAATTAGTATTGGTTTAAATATTCAATTTAAATCACTTCTGATTATAATTCAAAACGCATCGCTAAATTTCTTTGAAAAAATAATTAAAACTCCTTTATTTGTTTAAAAGGTAAATGACAAATGTCATTATGGTCATTCAAAATTGTTGGCATACGAACTTCACGCATATTCTATTTCTTTTTACTTGTAGATTGTCTTATTCCTATCTCGCTCGCGCACGCTATAATCACACTCCTAATTTTGTGTCACGGGTGCGCGCGCATTGTAAAATTTCACTCTCATAAATTTTTCATAACGCGGCTAAAGAAGTATAACTTCAATAAAAAAAATACGTAACTTCGCCTTGGTTTTGAATGAAGCACCTATCATTGTTATTTTGGGTTTTATAGACATTTTATCTCAAATATTGGTCACAATGTATAGATTTATATCTATCGCCTTTAATTGAGAATGTTCAAACGGAAAGTTCAAAGGGTTGTTTCGTATGCCCTGACTAAATTCTGCTGACCTATTAGAATCAGGCGTTTTACATTTTCACCCCTCTCTTAAATGAAAATGTTTTGCTATGTAGTTAATGTTTATCATACTTTTCGGGATCTTCATGAAATTACTTTTACTTTCCTACAGCCTCTTCAAATTTTTTTTATGTAACAGGAAGCAAATGGGCTCACCTGATGCCTTTGAACTGATTTTATATATACCTCAGCATGCGTCCACGCAGATAGAGCCTTAGGTGGCGTATCAGGTGCGACAGCGCCAAGTCTTCCACGCTTTCTGGCCTCTTGTAGTATTGGCACCTTCGAGTTTTTATCACCAGACGACAGAATCACTTCACGTTCTATCTGTAACAGATTTAATAACTTATTATATTACGTAGCCTGTATTAGGTTATAGAGAAATCCTGGTCCTTAGTTAAGTTTTTATTACCTAGAAATTGTGTTTTTTTTTCAATATTAATTTAATAACTTGTAGTACGAATATAGAAGCCTAAGAATGGCTCTGATGAAGTAATTTTGTATTTATTTCATCATAGGATACCTGTAAGGGTTTATTATTTAAGACGGGTTATTGTTTTTCTACAGTATACGGGGCAAACAGGATTTTAAATCATACCGCCCATGGACACTCACACTACCAGGTCGCAAGTGCGTTGCCGGCCTTTTCGGAATAGAAGTTACGAGAATTAGGAGCTTAATTGGTTGGGAAATGCTTAAGAAGGCTGGTTCCACATAGGTGCGCGGCAAAAAGTGCCTTAAAAATCGCTCAGTTGTGGATCGACGGACGTCAAGATGGAAGATGGACGGGTGGAATTTCGTATTCTGCCTCGACGACGGATGAGTTTTACATGCCTTTTATCGTTATTTACGTTTAATATAAAAATTATTAATATTTATATGCCTTATTTTTATTACGCATAAACCTTGATGTTCACTCGAATAATGCACGCACATCACTATTAATCACTGTATATTTGTTTAGCGTCAATTAAAGCAATTTAGTTTCCAGATTAAAATATACCATAAGATTATAATTTCTTTAACACGTCACTCTAAACCGATAAATGCCGACACAATGCCTACTTTCACTAGAAATCTACAGAATCATTACTTTACAAAAACGACTCGTGTGGAGAAACTTGCGTATATGAACATTGAACCTCAACTTATATAAGCTCGTATATAATAAATAGTCAGGAAAGTTTAAAATATGAACAGAACTTTTATTTGCTTTTATGTATATTAGTGAAAATTTGAGCAGTGTTCCCCTAGTGACTTCAACGTGCGCCTCTCACCCCCGAGGTCGTCGGTTCGATGCCCGGCTGTGCACCAATAGACTTTCTATGTGCGCATTTAACATTCGCTTGAATGGTGAAGGAAAACATCGTGAGGAAACCGGCTTGCCTTAGACCTAAAAAGCCGACGGCGTCTGTCAGGCACAGGAGGCTGATCTCCTACTTGCCTTATTAGATTGACAAATGATCACGAAAAGATACAGAAATCTGAGGCCCAGACCTAAAATTACAGCGCCACTGATTTTTTTTTTTTTTTTAAGTTAGGCACATCTCTGTCTGCTTAGACATTCTAGGCTTTGTGTAACAATTGATGTTTCGCTACGAATCGAAGCGGTCTATATTTTATGCGTAACCAAACTTGAAAGGACTATAACGTAAAGATTAGTGTGGTTTTAAATATATTATGTTTAAAGAAAAAAGTTTTTTCTTTAAATGTGTAAAGGTTATGTTAATCAAAGACAATACTATATTATGTTGTTATATAAAATGTTTCTAGCTTTAAAAGTTGAATAATTTAATTATATATATATACACATATATAAATAGTAATAATAATAATTAAAAATTTATAAAAAGAAAATTAAAACAAATTTAAAAAGTTTGGTTCCTGTGGCAGTGTAACTGTAATGTTGGCAGCTTTGGGTACTACCAGAAGCCAACTTTAATATTTAATTAGCGCCTGTGCCCTTGAACCTCATGGCCCTAGGGTCTACTCCAAAGGGAACAGCATCCAAGTTGGAGGAAAGACTTTTATATTTGAGCCGTTTATTTTTTTTTTACATAAATTATATTTAAATGAATAATAATGTTATATTATTAAATGATTTAATCACGTTCTGCGATTGTGAGTAATATAGTGGAGAATGGGGACACTTTTGGTTAACAGTACAGAGACTGACAATGATTAATGTTCGTAAATGTCCCTCGTTTGGAGAAATTTTCAAAGCAGCTTTAAAAATAAGAATTATAGTATGTATGGCGTAAAACTTTAACCTGAATACTTCTCTCTGTTTAAACTCAAAATAACTTTATTCATATAGGTAACCAAGTCTTATGAACGTCAACAGAAAAGATGTTAAATTGTTTCAAAATTTACATTTACTACCAGTTCGCAAGTTAACGGCGTATAGCGAGCAGCAAATACATAATGTAAGCAATACAAACCTTAACATCCACATATAATTTAACTAAATGTTCAATAATGATAAAAAAAATTGCCTGTATTCGAGTACAACATAATCAGGATTACATTAAGTCCATGTTGTGTCCAATTCATTATGTTTAACAGTACTCGACCTCCGACGGAGTGAAGGCCTCATCCAAATTCTTCTACTTATTTATATTATCTAATATATTAAATTCTCGTGTCACAATGTTCGTTCACATACTCCTCCGAAACGGCTCGACCGATTCTTATGAATGTTTTTGTGCATATTCTTACTGAGTGTGGGGTTTGAAAGATATATAGTAGTCTGAGAATCAGCTATTATCAATCTTTCAAACCCCTAAGTGATAAGGGGTGTCCACTGTCCAGCTATTTTTTACTATTGTAGATAGTTATTTTTTTGGAGTAAAAAAAAATCCTAGAAACAATATACATGGCAAAACAAAATATTTGCCGGTATCGGCTGACCCGGCAAATATTATTATTATTTAATATAAGTTTTTATTATAATCTTTAATTAATTTTACTAGCTAGAACTGATATACTGTCCATCAACATTCCAGGTATCCTTTTCTCCTAATCATACAATTAATAACAAAAATTTTGCTAGACTGTTTTAGTAGTCCTGAGTGCTGAAGCCAAACACGTCATATTGTGTTAATGTAATATTTTAGCTACAAATCTGTCAAATTTAAAGGCTATATTAATACGAATTAACAATAGTTATAAAGCCTCTAAGGCCTTGTAAAGAATCCTAGACGGCATTGACCTCATAGCATGCAGTCAGTCAAGCTTGTCCCCACTTCACTAATGACACCTGACGTGCGGACCGATGCACATCATATAATGTAGGTATCTCTTAAGGGACAAGTAGGAATTCAACAAGTGGACGGAAAAAATACTTGAGGATTTCGTATCTTTGTTTAGCTATCACAAAATAATCATCTTTGTAGTTAGTGTAAATTTTAAATATATTCCTTTTGAAATCTACTAATATATAAAATTCTCGAGTCACAACGTTCGTTCCCATATTCCTGCGAGACGGCTCGACCGATTCTTATGAATTTTTTATCCATTTAAGTTTAAGAATCGGCTACTATCTATCAAACCCCTAAATGTTAAGGGTGGTCCACCCCTAAATTTTTATTTTTTAGATGAAAATTTTTGTTTTTATTTTTTATTATACAGCATACAAAAATACATACAACCCTTAATTTTCTCTACGATCAACCCCTATTTTTTATTGGTTAATTAAAATCTTATGACTTGAACTCTGAGGTTTATATAGACAAATTCACAGAAAAACCTAAAAAGTTTTCATTCCAGAAAACCGAGCAGTCTCCAGGGTAGCATAGCAAAATATGGAACATTTTGGTATGTACTAAAAAGGTAGGCTAAGTAAAATCACATTAAGGAGAAACGAAGTTCGCGGGGGCAGCTAGTATGTATATATAATCGAGTCTAAATTTCAATGACCAAACTCTTGTATTAAGATTTTTTTTTTAGACCAGGGGGCAAACGGGCAGGAGGCTCATCAGATGTTAAGTGACACTCTCAATGCCAGAGGGCTTGAGAGTGCGTTGCCAGTCTTTTAAGAATTGGTACACTCTTTTCTTGAAGGACCCTAAGTCGAATAGGTTCGGAAATACTTAGGTAGCTAGTTCCACATAGTGGTGGTGCGCGGCGAAAATTGCCTTAAAAACGCTTAGTTGGGGAACGACGGACGTCGAGGTGATACGGATAGAACTCTGCTTCGAAGATATTATTTGTCTATCTATTCAATGCGATCAGTTTGGTACGCAATGAATCATTTGGATGAATTGATTCAATGATGGAGGCACTATACGGCATTTAACGCCGAGTTGTATAGGTACAATTTAAGCCTTAAAAAAATTAAAACTACAGTAATCACCCCTATACCGTGATACACCTATAACGCGATTTCCAACCCCATATAACGTGGTATTATGCTCTTTAAAACGCGGAGATTTCTCAAGTAATATTTTTGTAGTATGCAATTTATAATGATTTGTCAAGTCCATATTTAGTTTTGCGTACCTTTGCAACTTTAATTGTGTTGTTTTTGAATTGCTCAAAAAAGGTTTTCACGATAATACTCCTACAACGCCTTTTCCTATAACGAGATCGGGGTCTGCCGCGTTATAGCGGCGATTATATGTATATTTAAACAAAACAATCGAGTATTAAAGCTTGTGAAAAAAAATTCTCATTTAACCTTTTTAAGGCTCCACTGTTGTTTTCGTGTATCGTGAAACTGAATTAAAATAATGAATATAGTAGTTACTCACGGGAAACTTGGCCGAGTGTGTGTGTATCGCGGCTGGCAACATTGGCGCAGGCGCCCCTGGTAAGGCAGCTTCCGGGGCGGGCGGCATCCTATAGGGCGGTACAGATTCTACTGTGCCTGAAATATATTAAAGAGAAAATTTGACAAACTGTTTAAGTTATGAAAATACTAATGAGGAAAATCTTATGGTACAAATATAGTAGAAGTGTGTAACTTATAGTTGACATTTTAGTATCTATAATAACATCGACAGAATGTTATTAAAATATAAGAATTAAAAAAAATCTGTGGTAAAATCAAAAGTTTTTAGGTGTGGGCTTCAGATTTCTGTATCTGGTTAGTGGTCGTTTAATGTTCTTAACAGGCAAGTGACCAGCCTGACACATTCCGTCGATTTTTCGGTCTAAGGAATGCTTTCTCACTATGTTTTCGTGCAAGCGAGTATCACGCGCTTAGAAAGAAAAATATATTGGTGCACGGCCGTGATTCGAACGCACGACCTCACGATTGATATTAATAACCTAATTAAACTTATTACATAATGTTTTGCATAATATTTATGTCGGTATCCGCTAATAAATCAAATTTCATGATTCTGATAACCAATATTAAATTTATAATTATATAAAACGGTTATAATGATTTCCTAGGATAGTCCTAGTGTTTCACATATAATTAAAGATGACAGAAACCACATAACATTCAAGTGTTTAAGAATGCTTTTATCAAACCTGAGGGGTTCGAACCTCGGCTCAGCATCAATTAATCAATATTCGCAATTAACACAGACTCGTACCAGGAAACTGGTATTTCAAAAATCATCTTCCAGGCACAGAATGATCAGCAATGCCAGCTATTTAATTATATTCTATCAAGACCAGTACTATAATACTACAGTACAGTACCACACCAGAAATACAATACTAAAATAATGCACAGAACAAGTTGAAAATAAATTTCGTCACCTAAAACAAAAAAAGATCAAGATTAAGTACTAAAAAATCCTAAAGTGTTGGTTGCTCAATTTAACTTCCTCAAAATATTCTCAAGTTGCCAATTAACTATTAATTGGCTATGAGGAACTTACGACACATTTACCAAATAAACGTTGTAACTAATTTCCGAAATTGTAATTGGCTGTTAATCATTGATTGAAGACATTTTTAGTATTTTTAAAAAGCAATAAAATAATTAATAAAATATAGGATAATCACAATATAGCCTATTATAATTTTCATATACATTTTCTAAGGTATATTACGTGTTATAGAACTCGTAAAGCTAGGTTTTTGCGTCAAGTTTCATAAAACTTGATGTTGTCATAATGTGATCATCAACTGTAACAAGCTTTGTATAAGTTTAATAACAATCTACACAAATTCGTATTATATATACGTTTTTAATTTATATGCTATTTCGTAACAGTATGTTACTTTTCCTTACTAGTTTTGGAAGAAAGATATCGCTTGGGCGCACCTGTTGACTAATAATTTAATAATAATATATTTTTATTTTATTTTTTTTTCACACCAATTCACCAAGTCCCATGCTAAGCTGGTGAAGCTTGTGTTATGGGTACTAGGCAACGGAAATACATACATATTATAGATAGATAGACATATAAATACATATTTAAACACCCAAGACCTAAGCACAACCCCAAATGCTCATCACATCGATGTTTGCCTCAGCCGGGGATCGAACCCGGGACCCATGGATTCGCAGTCAGGGGTACTAACCACTAGACCAATGAGTCGTCAATGAAGTGATATTGTATTGTATTGTATGAAGTGATATTCTTGAAGCCAACAAAATATAAACGACTTTTACCAGTATAATACTCAAAACAGAACTAATAAGCGTACGACCAACCAGGCTCTAGAAGATAAACCACTATATGGAAATTGAATTCATTTTTATAACAAACTCCCAAGCGAAATTAGAGAATTATCACTGAATAAATTCAAAACTCTCGTTAAACATAAATTAATCAATAAAACTTTTTATAAATTTTACGATATTCTAAATGATCCTAATCCTTGGGATTTATTTGCTCCAGTTCAATTTTTATGACTTAAAACTTGGCGATTAAAAAGAGTGGCGGAGAGGGTCTTGCCAGTTTTTCTTGCCCGCTCTACGCCCTTGACTTGCGAACTGGTAGTAAATGTTTTGGTTACCTACATGAATAAAGTTATTTTGAGTTTGAGTAAGCTGATTACCGGTGATGTAAGTGTTAGTAAAAAAATAATAGTTTACTTTTATTATAAAGTTTTATCAAGCGAGGAGTAATACTAAGCCACGCGTATTAATAGTTATATACATTATAGTAAGCTTCAAGTTAGACTGATTTGTCGCGTTTATCTATTTGTGCAATGAGATCGATAAGGAGAAACATGGTAGCTGTTTGAGTACGTTTATAAAGAGTACTATAATAAATGTCATTGAGGGAGATATACCCAGTACCAGAAGTAACCTATTTATAATTCATTGCATATCAACAGGCCATCGGACTGTCTGTTACAACAGGAAGGCAAACATACACGCATTTACAAATAAAATGAATGCTATATTATAATAATAATTTAAAACAAATATAAATAGAAAACAAATTTAAAAAATTTGGTACCTTTAATGCTATACTTATTCGATGAGAACGAAAAGTTGAGAAGGAAAGCAACAGCTCTGGGGTCACCGGTACTATCTACCATGCGCCAACTTAAAACTTAATTAGCGCCTTTGCACTTGAACCCCACGGCCCTTGGGCCGTGGGGTTCAAGTGCAAAGGCGCTAATTCTCTTGAGTCTTGAGGAAAGACTCTTGAGTCTCTCCTCCAAAGGGAGCAAAATCAAAGTTGGAGGAAAGACTGTTTTATTTGAGCCGTTTATTATGTTCCGCCTGCTCTGCGGCTGCGCCAGCTTTTGTGCTTGTCCGAGGGAGGTGAGACGAGGCTAACGTACTAGTAACACACAAATTATTATTACAATGTAGGTTAAGAATATTGTAAATACTGATTATTTGTGTGTTGGAAATAAATATAAATATAGTAGACGAATGTTTATAAGATTCGATGACACTAATCTATCATTTGTTCCTGATGATAAATTGAACATTCACTGATTAAAAGAAAGACTAATTTTCTCGTAAGGCCATATAAAGCTTTCTAGTGACTTATAGAATGTCCCGATCACAATACTAGGTTCGGTAAGTAGGGCCGTTGGTCAACTCTCCGTCATAATAAATGGAGCCATACAAAGTTATAAATCAAATTATAAAATATTTACAAAATTTGAGTTTGGATTTTTTATTTATAATCGCCTGATATCTGGTCACTAAAGACATCTCGCACCAAGTCAACCGCTGGGTATATACTAGCCCGAGAAGATATCTAACAAGCAACTTCGAGAGTGATGCCGAGAAACCCGGATTAGCCAGCTGATTAAGCGATGCTAGTGGAAATGTGTAGGCCATACACTAATAAGAGATTTCAATGATATACCCAAGCAGGCGCTTGATTGGAACCCGCAAGGAAAGCGGAAGCGTGGCCGTCCCAAGGAAACCTGGCGTCGAACAGTTGCAGATGAGGCAAAGAAAGCCGGAAAGACTTGGAGCGAGGTAAAATACGTCGTTCAAGACCGAACGTGACGGAGACACTGTGGACGCCCTCTTCGCCATCGTAGGGGTTATAGGACATGTCAAGTACAATTATCACTCCAATTTCTATTGTATTTTAAAGCGAATGTGAAGACACTCCACTTTCATTCACTAGTAGATAAGACAATTATATTATATTTTAGTTATATACAATATTTAGTTATACTTATTTTTATACTAGAAACCACAAAAATCACCTAATTAGAGATAGTTTATGTATGTCAAAGTGACCTCCTAAGCCTGGCTGCAGTATACTTGCTAGTTAGCGTTGTTACAGCTTTCACAGATCATTAAAGTTTTATCTCGTATCCTGCAATTAAACTGTTTGTGTTTTTATCATCAGATCTAGTTTGAGTTCTTAGTAAATTGATTTATTAGTCGTATTACAGATAAACATACTTGTTTCGACATAAATTCGTAACTTAAAATTCCCAAGGTTGAGGTAAACAGCATTAATTTTATTCTAATTCTAATTTTAACTTGATATCTTTAAAATAAACGTTTCATTCTGTTTCTTTACTTTAATGTTTTAATAATAGATTTATTAAATAGTCTTAAGATTATATGGAACACTAGATATTTATTTATATAGCGTTTACTAGTTTAGTGTCTCGCCGTTTCAAAATGGAGGTGAATCTCTGGATTTAAATTAACATTATAAATCACCACTTTCTCAAGAACATCTCTCATCTCAACTACGTATAGTAATTTGGGAGTAAGTGAAAAATTATAGCTTTTTAATAATTATGGCGGGAACCAAAAAACCTTATTGCTTAAAATTTTATGTTTTTTCTTTTCTTAATATAACCACAGAGCGCATTATTATCGCTAATACAGACTACAGTTAACTGTAGATTATTTTTTTAAATATTTGTTTAAATTACTCTATGGACTAACAATAGTTAAAAGCATTTATAAACTTTGGTAAGTAGCTATCAAAGATACAGATACGTGAATCCAACACTCTTTCGTTTATAAAAACTGAATAATTGACATAGATTCATGATGCTGTGTCATGGTGATAGACCTATTGTTTGCCAAGTCAGTGTGATGCCGTTATCTCGATATTCCATTCATATGGACTAAAATCGCTTAATTACACATTACTGTAAATATATAAAGGCGGATGCTTCGGATTCTCTGGACAGATAAACAAATGTATACACATAGCAAGATGGTTACAGATAAATCGTCTTTTGACACTTTATTACCAACAGATCCTGAGTTTTTGTGGACATGTAACACTAAATTGTAAACACGATAAGTTTTTCTTATAGTGGCAGTGTAAAGGTCACTCTGCCCTTAGATCTTACTAGTCACATCATCATGGGGCATCACCCCGGCCAGGGTTCCCGAAGACGTTCAGAAATGAAGAGCGCGACTGAAGAAGTAAATATATACCATGTAAAAGGCATAAGACGAAGGCAATCATATATTTTCATTATTCTTTTTATATAAATAAAAATAAACTATTTTGACTTCAAGTTCATTCAAACATATTGTGCATATTATAATACTCTATTATTGTATTAAATACATTTTAAATTATAATGAAAGAAGTCAGGAAGGTGGCGTCTAGACACAAGGAAGACGTTTTATTCTTGTCACTGTCATATGGGAACGTACTTTAAATTTAAGCCAATCGTTTCTTTAATAAATATATTAGCTGAATTTACATATCCTTTAGAAAAAAGTCAATAAGCGTAAGCTTTCAATTTGTCGAATATATTACATAAAAATAGAACTCAAATGCAAATCGAAATGGAGTATTTTGTTTGATTTTGATTAATAAGCAACACAGTTATAACATAATATTAATAAACTCTTTTAGAGCGTTTTCATAACACTTCGGGCGGTATTTTCGTTGAATAAATGATTACAATGACACTACGTAAAATTAAATGGTCCAATGAACGTCCATTGTCACAAGCTGCAGTCACTTGCTACTCTAATGTTAAGAATATCAGTCGATAGAAGTGTATAGGAGATCTGTCGGTTTTATGAAATATCGTTTCGTATTTAGTTTCAAGTTTTAATCCTTTATTTTAACGTATAGCCAACTTATCTAGTGAATTAAGACAATAAATTTATAAGGATTGCTATAATTTCTACTCAACTCGAACTTTAAAACATAATAAAAAGTTCACAAGCTGCTCAGAACTTCCGTTGCGCAAAAAATATTATACGTTTAAATGAAAGCCCTCACACTTTGACATAAGATAGGATTTTGCTTAATTTATCACTAATACCATTAACGACAAAGGAAATCGCACTGTATTATTGATAGGTTAAAGTGTAAATTTAAATGTCTAAAAAGAGCAGATGTCTTGAAGCTTTTTTGTTTAAATGTACCTGTAAATGGCATCTGTTTACTATCAATAGTACAGTTGTTTTAGTCAACTTTTATTATATCAATATACATAATTTTAATAAATAATAATTTTGGATGATGTCAGTCTTAAGTAAAATGGAGAAGCTAAAACACAAGTTAAACACTAGTTAAAAGAAAAAAGGCTTTAAATAAATAATTTAAATCATCTACACTAATATTATGAAGAGGAAAGATTTGTATGTAAGTATGTTAGTAACGAATTGGCTCAAAAAGTACTGGACCGATTTAAAAATTCTTTCAACATTTCAATGCTGCATTATCACTGATTAATATAGACTATTTTGATTGCAAGAAAAAAAAGGATACATATTCTTAACCTCAGTGGAATGTTTTAAAAAATTACCCGTTGCTGACATTTATTCTGTTATCATTTTGGTTTCATCAAGTCCCGTACACAAAGGAGGCCATCGATACACTATTGATAAATACATTATTATTTAGGTATGTCCGCATTTACTGTATATTTACGCAGAAATGTTAAAAAAATATATCCACCAGTGCGAAGCCGGACCGCTAGTTTCTTAAAAAAATTATTACTTAAATTTTAAAAGACCATCATCTCATTTGCTAGCCCTCTGGCAATGTGAGTGTCTATGGGCGGCGGTATCACTTAACATCACATGAGCATCAAGCCCGTTTGCCCCCTGTTACATAAAAAAATACCAGCTATTTTATAGCTTGTCACCAAATAAAGATAAATATGATTGAAATTATAATTTTATGATTTTGAATTTATTTAAATTATTAATACTAAACTGAGCTTTGATATCTTTTATTTTTGATGCCGATATAAAATAATTTCCAGTCTTTTAACTCTTGTTTAAGGTATTTGAATTTTAATATTTGATATTACTCACCTACCAAAGATCAATCATCTAAGACACTTGTTGGGAGCCTATATACTCGTACAAGAATTATTTATAAATACTTTATAACCCGCCTCTCATTCTGAAGCAGTTGTCAGTTTGTCACTCAGATTGGACAAAAGAAACATGATCTGATTTCACTTATAAGGCCAGGACCTTGAGTTAAAATTTAACAAGCAACATTTGAATAATTTCATGAAGGCAATTTCATTTAGATAAAAGATTTAGTTTATATTTAAATAGGTTAAATTTTAGTGAAAATTTGGACACCGAGGACATAACAAACAAACTATTAGCCCCAAATATTTAATAAATCATCGCTTAGGGGCATCGATTTTCAAAAATGCAATACATTATTTCGTCAATATCAAAATTTAATCTTTCTTCTTGCATTAAAGGTACACTGCCACAGAGACCAAACTTTTAAAATCAATGTTAATTAACTATTTATCCATTTTTAATTATTATTATTACTTAGGTTAAGAATATTGAAAATACTGTAAACGGTCTAATTTTGCAATCTATCTATCATCAATCAATATAAAGTTTTTCTTTATAAACTTTGTGTGTAAACACAGAACTCAATCTCAAACATATAAAAACCCTGGTTTATGAGTTAGTGTCCTATATCAGATAAACCGAATCCAGTTTAATTAAACGAGACCCCAATATCACTTTCTACTTTGTATAATATAACTTTATTCATATTTTTTACCGCAACAACACAATTTAATACCAATAAAAGCTACATAAACAATAATTAAAATGCATGCAACGTATTTGTGTCCACCGTATTGAGTACCGCAAGCTTTTTGTGGAATTTAAGTGCAATAAGATAAAAAGCTTTGGCATACATTGGATGGTCACATCGTGTAGTCGTTGAATGTATTAAGAAGCGATCTGGAACTCGAGACTGGCACGGAGTATCCTGGGATGGTCTATCCGACATCTTGCTGTCTGTCTGAAATTCTCACAGAATTGTCAAATATATCAAGATGGATAGACCAAGGGGTGACGCGGGGTTCACCGGCCAGCGGGCTCCAAATCGCCCATAAATATCATGAGGATATTTCTGGAGTAGTCGTCGCTCGGGCCCGGCGGGGACGTCAAGTCCACCAGACTTAGCTTAAGTGAATAAAGTCCTTTTTTAGGAAAAGGGGATATTAGACACTTTAACTAATCGCGTTGTTTGATAGACAACAAGGGATCCCATAAATTATGTATTAAAGTATGGACATAGTGTTTAAAATCAGTGGCGCTACAACCTCTTAGGTCTGGGCCTCAGATTTCTGAATCTGTTTCATGATCATTTTTAAATCTAATAGGCAAGTAGGTGATCAGCCTCCAGTGCCTGACACACGCCGTCGACTTTTTGGGTATAAGACATGTCGGTTTCCTCACGATGTTTTCCTTCACCGTTCGAGCGAATGTTAAATGCGCCCATAGAAAGAAAGTCAATTGGTACACAGCCAGGGATCGAACCTACGACCTCAGGAATGAGAGTCGCACGCTGAAGCCACTAGGCCAACACTGCTCTGCCATAGTGTTTAGTTTTGATAAAAGCTGCTAATTAAATACTGTGCCAATAATACATTCTGAGAAAGTTAATATGAAAAAAAAAAATGGATATATATCACAGACTTGCTGTTTAAATGTCTATGTTTAAAATACGACAACATATAAATCATGTAGCGTTTATAAAAATATTAAGGAAAAAAATATAAAAACTTGGCGATGGTTACAATATTCAAAACTTTTCCTTTCCAATAATAAGTTGACACAAACCATTGACAAATATATTCAACATACGAATGTCTCAATTAACATAATCTTGAAATAAATTAAAACCGTAAAAATAATTTCGCATTCGCAAAACGTTTTTATGGAATGAAAGTTGAAATAATATCGTTTTAGTTTTAAAATCCCTCAAATATTTAATAATTTATGACTGTTAGGAATTTAATACTGGACTACTGTTCAAAATAATTAAATCTTGTGTAGATATCGTTAATGTCACATCAATGTTGGTATTCGTAAATGAAGACAGCGATTTCAAAGTATAATATATACAGGACTTCTATGTAGACTGCTTTTAAGTTAATTTTGTTTCTTAGATATTAATTAATATCATGAATATAATAAGTAAATTAAATATAATATAAAAATGACCCTTACTTAACATGGCATAGTGGGAAGAAAAAAGAGAGGAAGCCCACCAGAGACCAGGAAGATGAGAGACGAATGGAAGAATTTGGAGGATGCTAGGCTATTTATCTAAGTTCAGAAGTTTTTTTTGTATTGTATCATTTTAATTTCAAGTAACTGCACATCAATATATAACGTACCTTTAACAATGTTTGTGGTTTAAAATTGAAGTAATCATATATTTATACTACAAATCAATTTTTTTTTACATACACTTTTATTTTATAAATTCACTGAAATTCAAGCCTCCGATTAAGGTTTAACAAACTGGACTACTGGATAGGAGTGTTGATTTGGTGGACTGCGATGTATTGTCCTTGTAGTAAAACGTAAAATTCTCGAATCTGTCCAACTAAAGTTTCACTATGAACTGACATTGACGGTGTTCAATACTGTGACTTTAAATACGTGTTAATGACCAGCTGGTTTTTCACCGTAAGAGCAAATATTAAAGCCTTAAATTGAGATAAACATAAAATGTGGACTAAATATAGTAACGTAATATTATAGCTACTGTGTTTTTTCCTTGTTATACCTGGTAAATAGTAACTGGTCTTTAATATGTGCATAAATGTTTATCGTTATACAAAATCAGATACGTTGAATTAAATCCTGTTTTCGTAATAGAGTCAAAGTATTTAATGATGAAAAAGTCAACTTGTCTTCTATATTCAATCTTGACGATAATATACCTATTTAAATTCCAAACAGAAATTCGCTGTAAGGGTTTGCATGCAGGAATGCAATGTGCAATCTTTATAAGTATAGAAACATTTCTGCCAATTTAAAAACAAATATCGCCTGTTTAGTACTAATGTTAATGAATAGGTTTCTAATAAATCATATTGATTCATCTCAATAGATAGGTAGGTATACATTTGAAACATCGACGGCTTTCAGTACATAATTGTTTTAATGTCTTCATTAAAAAAATTATATGGAATCGTGCTCCCTGGTACTTTCGCAATGATGACTTCCTTTGGGACCTCAAGGGTCATCACCACAATTTGACTGAAACTACATTTCACGGAATGAAATAAGACTGATCTAATGAAAAGTATATATGTATATAAGTATTTTTTAAATATTTCTCTACTCTTAGGACGTTGCCAGAATAATTAAAAAGATTGCTGGAGCCTAAGGATCCACCAACACGTGAATGTCGAGGCTATTCAACTTATGGACACCACGGGCCTAGTGAGAAGATTGAAAAGGACAAAACCAAACAGTCGTAAGTGAAAAAATAGAACACAAGAACAGAGTGTCTTCCCTTTAATAGAGGATGTAAGTAGTCCTACTGGACACTTTTTTTATGTTGAATATTCTTATTAGTAAATTAGGTTAGACTTAAATCACTTATTTGTGTTATGTAAGGCTAGATTAAATGATGTCTTAGCGCAGAGACAATATATAAAAATATAAAATGGGAATCATAATGTATGTTAAACACGAAAACGACTTTATTTGCACGCTGAACAAACTTTCGTGTTGTTTCTTTTATGTAGGTTTAAAAAGAAATTGGCCTGAGCATAGAGCATGCATTTACCTGCACCCTAAGGCACATTGTCTGTTGTCTATGTCTACGCATTCCATTCTGTTTTTTTTTGTATAATTATTATGATTCATATTCAATTAGAATTAGTTACACAATTAAAGTTTTACTATGTCTAACGTTCTACGTAATGTAAATAATTACAAAAATACTGAAAATACGTTAAATAAAGTTATTAACAGTAATATCTATACCTATAAAACTGAGAGTCTTTTAAATTTTAGTTGAAGATCTTTGACTATGCTGGTATGCATGCTTACGTCCTCGAACTGGTTTTCTATGGGAATATGATTATCTTTTCATCTAATTCCATGTATCAACTTAATTATTCAATCGAATGTTTTCACAAATGATTAGACGCAGAAACAATTCAATTTAAAGAGATTTAAATTCAATGATAGTCAAATATGATGTTTTGATAATAGCTTTATATCTACATTTATACATTACATTGATCCGTTTGGATTTTTACTGAGAAAAACCGGTAAGAACCAGGGTTTGGGTTAAATATTACAAATAAAAAAATAATCATCTTAGTTTTCTTTAAAATGTTACGTACATTTTACGTGGATGCTCGAAGAGACGAAATTTTAATGAACGCGTGTTTTTATTCGTTAAATAAGATTTATTTAAATGTACAGTACTCGCGTTTATTAAAGCCATAATTTGGTTATTTATTGAACTTAAAAATGAATCAAGTTTAAAAATCCCACCGCATTTTCTCATGCCATACAATTGCCAAATCAACCCATTATTTTTAATGGATTCAGTTAGGATTCGTGTCTACCTGAGATCTTTTAAATGGGCGGCTTTAAAACGATTATTATGGATACCATCAGTATGAGTTTACGAAGCCACGCACAGCTTTATATTTCATTCATGTATTTTAGTACTTAAATAAACTACAAATAATTTGCTAACAGTTTTTAAGGTGTTACGTACTCATCTTGCTGTGTATTCGAATACAGACCAAACAATTAAAAGACACGTCACAATTTAGATATACAGGAATAACTTTTTGAGTCGTAAATAAGGAAAGCTTTTATATCTAGGTTGGCATTTGTCTTGAATAGAAATAGAGTAATTGCTAATCTGAAATGCTCTTTCTCAACCCACTCAACAATCTAGTTTTCGTTATTTTATGAGCATTGATCAAATGAAACCTATAAATTGGAAAGACATGTTTAGATAGCACGATTGAAATAGAATTATTATGCAACATCACTTCCACTTGTCAAATTGGCAGAGTATCTTTGGATTGCTTTTACATTTGACTGACTAAAGTCTAGTCAAATTTATTAATAAGAGCACGCATCCATAAACAGGTATGAGCGTCAAGTGGCGCTTAACTAAGTTTTGATTTTAAAGGCAACCTTAAATTAAAGACATACCCAAATTTCCTCAGCAATAAACAATCCACAGAAGCACAAAAAATTAAATAACACACATTTTAATAAAACTTAAAATGTAGACATTCACCTCTTATGGGCGCGGCGCGCGGACTGGCGACGCGCGAGGCAGAACCTGTTTCGAAGAAAAAACTTCCCGCCTCAGCTGTGACCCTTTGCGTGCTTATCATTGCACTAGAATTATTTGTTAACTTCTCGGGAACTAATTGAGCACCCTGAGCGAGGTTTAGCCCATTCGTATGTGGAATTCCGTAGATGGAACCTTTCTGCGTCGCACTTATTACTCGGGGCTCCGGATTTGCGAAGGCGTTGACTTTAAGAATCTCATTTGCCTGCTGTAGAAGTCTCCGTTGTATCTGCTCGATTTCGCCTTTAGAAGCACGTGAGTTCTCTGATAGTTCAGCAATGAGTTGATTTACGTTGAAGTCCATTTTGTTTTTATTCTCATTGATAGCGTTGGAGTCGTTAAGTTTTTGTGAGCCGATTGCTTTAACAGTCATTTCTGTATTATCTGGGGAAGTGACTACTATCGCTGGTGCTTTGATGACATTGCTTGTTTCTTTAACTTTACCACGTTTTACTTTTCTGACCGTTTTAGCCATTACATTGTTGATGTTGTGTTATGAATACCTTTATCATCTCTTTTGTTGCACTAACTACTATAGCGAACTATTGAGGCTATTAAATAATTAAAATTGGTTTGATTAAAACAGATAAATGTGGTTTATATTTTTCTTTTATAAAAATACTAGCTGACCCGGCAAACGTTGTTTTGCCATGTATATATATTTCTAGGAAACATTTTTTAGTTCAATAAAAATAACTATCTACTATAATAAAAAAATTGGGGTTGATAGTAGAGGGGTGAAAGTTAGGAGTTGTATGTATTTTTGCACGTTGTATCATAAAAAAATTAAAACAAAAAAAAAAAAAAAAATATGAAAGATTTCGGCCGATTCTCAGACTTACTGAATATCCAGCCGTTTCGGAGGACACGAGAATTATATATATATATATATATATATATATAGAGATGCAGGGTAGATTTGCAATCATGTAATCATTATTAAGTTAGTAACAATTTTATTATAAGGTTTTTTGTAATAAAAACTGATATTTTATATCGGTTTCGTCACAATTGCATTTTTGATTGCATAATCAAAGTTATTTCCAAATGCTATATTTGGAGTCGTATGAATTGTGGGTAACAAAGGCATGTGTCGCCATTGTTGCTGTATTTGGCCGAATGTTACACACATGTTGCTGTTCTATTGTTTAATATAGATAGTATCAAACTTGTATCAATAATTACGCTTAAAAGAACATGTATATTTTTATGAGTTAGTCACGTGATTTAAAGATATATCATTTAAATAGTATACATACTCGTCTAATAATAATTCTCTTCACAGATTCTCGCGAAATAAATGTTATGAATAAATTTGTTTATTTTTGTAATACAGGTATTATTGTTTATGTCTATACGAAACGTCCTTCTTTTTTGGGGATTTAATCCTCCATGACGTGATACCCAGTTTTGGAGTCCAAAGTTTTGAATTCTTAAGCACTTTTTTGGCGGTTTTGTTGGTTATCAGTGAATTTTTGTTTCTTATCCATATCGGTTAATAAACTGTATCCTTCCTTACAAAATCATTAACTATATTATGATGGTAAACTGTGTCTCTTAAATTCCTTACAAAAGCTTTAACTGTAATATGTTGTATTTGACGATATTCTGGTTGCTGTAGACATGCCAATGATAAACATAGTATGTATAGACAGTAATGAACATTTAGAAGTGAAGCTACTACTTATTAATTAATTAAGAGTAGTGTGTTCTAGATCAAGTTTTAGTATTGCCAAATTTGTAATTTATTGCTTTTCCAAATATAGCGTTGAAGTAAGGCGATGCTTTTAAGCAGGTATGTAATTTTAAAGTGGGTGTATTAAAGTAAGTTATACAAGTCATAAAAACTGTATCATTCTCCTAAAACAGATGTAAATTGAATATATACTAGATGTGCCAATAGTGCTTGACTTATATTTTTGGGTTTTTTTTCCTTTTCCTTCCCCCGGTTTTTGGTTGGTTGGGTTTCTTTTTTTTAAATTTGAAACAAACCCTTATACATATACATATCGCTTAAAACAAAAAATTATGTAACCAAAATAAACAATCAAACATTTATATTATTTAGATATATCTGACAAATACTGCTAAGTGTAGCACAACAAGTCCGAGGCTCTAAAAAACACTGGAAAAATTTGTTTAAAAAATTTTTTTTTTTTTTTTTTTTCTTTTTTTTTTTTTTTTTTCCCTTTTTTTCCCCCCCCCCCCCCCCCCCCTTTTTATTTTTTTTTTTTTTTTTTTTTTTTTTTTTTTTTTTTTTTTTTTTTCTTTTTTTTTTTTTTTTTTTTTTTTTTTTTTTTTTTTTTCCCCTTTTCCCTCTCCCCCCCCCCCCCCCCCCCCCTCCCCCTTTTTTTTTTTTTTTTTTTTTTTTTTATACAAATACTGCTGTGTGCAACAAGCGGAACCCTTGTCTTATAGTATCAGAGCTTAAAAGGGCAATATCAAGTTTAGGTTTCGGACGTAGAGTGTTATACTATATATATAGTGTATATATAACACACATTTATATCTTCTTAATATATAAAATTCTCGTGTCACAATGTTCGTTCCCATACTCCTCCGAAACGGCTGCATGAAATGCATATTCAGTAAGTATGAGATTCTGCTACTATCTATCTTTCAAACCCCTAAGTGATAAGGGGTGTCCACCCAAAAAAATATTTTTATTTTTTTGATAAAATTTTTATTTTTATTTTTTTATTATGGGGCATTAAACCTACAACCCTTCATTTTAAACCCTCTACGATCAACCTCTATTTTTTATTATAGTAGATAGTTATTTATATATAGAGTATATATATGGATAAGCTTAGCTCGTAGATTACACTGTGTGTATTAGACTTTTGAGCTAGAAGCTATAAACATTGAAAGTAGTATCTAGGACTCCTCTTAATTTGCATTTCGAAGCTCGTAAAATGCTGCGTTTACCGACTTTGCAATATAAGGTGTGATGTTTATGTTACACGCAACATCTTGGATTTTACGTCTGCATGAGACATAACAGGACATCGTAGTAATACTTAGAACTAAGTCATACAAATTATTTTATATAAAACGATTATATATGATATAACCATGTACGTGGTAGAATTAGAGAATTGGAACAAAAGTTGCTTAGTAGAAAACATTATTTGTAATTGTGTAACCTAGAAGAAGGATTTCTACTGGATTCTGCAATGGTTTCCCAATTTCTTTAATTTTGATTGGTTTATCGGTTTTTATAGAAATATTTCATGATTAGTTATCGCATCTAAATAACTAATATATCTAATTAGCTCTTCAGTTTCAAATCTAAGTACTACTAGCAGCAAAACAAATTTAAAACCGAAGTGAAGTTAAAATTGCGTAGTTGGAAATTCTACCAAATCTCTTCAAAAATGTACAAAATTTTCGCCTTCACGTATGACTTTAAAGATAACACAAGATCATGAATCATTTCAAATTCTAACACGAGCTTGTTATTAACAGCTCGGAGATAATTATTCAAATGCTTTTAAGGATCCATTAAGAAAGCTTTTACATTTAAATTGCCTAAGAGTAATTATGTTCACGAGTTCTTTAGTATTTAATATCGTAATAAAATCGAAAGTTTATTTGTTACATATAGCCAGTAAAATTTTCATATAATAAATTTTCTTTGTATACAACAATAAAAAATTCAATAATATTTATACTAATATATTAGACAAGTTCACAAATATCTGTAATAATGTCGATAAGTTTGTTGTACAAATGAATTTTATATGTGAATTCCTAACTTAACTAAAATGAATAGTATAAGGTCAGGGTTCCCAGCTTTCCGTAACAAAATTAATAGTAAATTCCATAACCATTTTTTTTTTTAATTTTTGAAGTTATACTCTTTTGGCGCATTAGTAAAAAGTGATGAGAGTAAATAAACCGGCAACCTGAATAGCATAGTCAACATTTTAAAATAAAAAATGTCCAGTTCTTTAATTATTTAGAAATATTTAAATAAACTATATTTAACTAGGTAATGCGTTATGATAAAACTTTCAATGTATTTAAACCTTTTTTTCTATTGTTAGTGTCGTTTTTTTTTACAAACGTAGAATTAGGCGACAGATAAAAAATTTCTAACGCGTGTACATAAGTACACACATGTTTTTATTACAATTAATTTTTACTGTTTATAACGCGCATGAGGGCAGGAGTGAGTGTTTGGGTGCATGTGAGTAAGTGAGTGAGTGCAGTGTGTAACAACATATTAAGTCGCAGGAGGCGAGCCATCCCTTTGGCCGTTAATTTATATTGTGGACGGTAAGAGGCCTATTTAATTTATTATGGATATTGTCTTAGAACGGTTAGAACTCTCGATTAGAAAGTGTTCTCTGACCAGATCTCCTATCTCAAGGTAAATTTTCTGTGCCTAGACGAAAAACAGGACAAGGTATGTCCTTTCTCGGTAAATACAAATAAAAATAACTTTTCTCGTAACATAAATAGAATTTGTGCCTAGTATAATTATATTTTCTCTATTTGACATTTTTCATAATTAATGAAGTATTACAGTTACACACACATACTTCTGCACATATACACTAATTAAAAGTATTATATTTTACTAGTGTAGGCCAAAGGTAAGTTTTTATTCATTTGGTTTTGTAATTTTTATAAAAGCTGTTGGCTACATAAATTAAAAAGTAATAATATGGGTATTAATAACTATGTTATGCTTAGCTTGCTGAATATTGCGACATAGTAGGCTGATGATATTGTAGGACAAAAAACTGAACGCACACAATTACTACGAATCCTAAGTGATTTAGTTACCGATAATTTTATAAGTTTAGTCTAGGAACACTCGCAAACCTTCTAGAATTATAATTATCCAGTAGTGGGAGAATAATTTTAATATTATACTTAAAAAAATGTTTATTATGGAATATAAGATACAGGTATCACTTATTCTACGTTATTAAATTTGAATCGGTAGACATCCCTACTCATCGGCAAAGAAGACAGAGGATGTAGGCCGAGAAAAAGAAGTCGGTGTAAAAAACTCTCGGTACTCTTTTAAAATAGCAAATCATCAAACAACACTTATTTTAAAACAAATATCCCAAATTAATTAGAAGTAGCCTGTCTAGCACTAGTCCCATGCCCTTTTATCAACTAGATAATCGTTAACTTTATAGTAAGCCTTTTTACACAGCTTTTCTTTAATACATTATTGGCCTGTTATAAATAAAATACCTAAAAGATGCCTTAAGAAACTTTACAGTTATAAATACTGGAATAGTAAGTTTGACCTGTATTGATTAAGATAGTACTACTCAACAATTTCTAGACCGAAACAGTAGGATTGAACAATAAAGGACTAGTCTATTGTGTAAGTTAATTAATGACGTATCAGAACATTGTTTTTGACCAACTTGCTGAAGTTCCGTTTTGTTGAGGTCAATGTCTTAACTACTTAGATGTAGTTTTTTGGCAAAATAACTTCGTATAAGA